CGTGCGGTCGGTGAGGAAGGAGGAGAACCACCGCATCACGGTGCCCCCCACTCCCAACTCCACCAAACGCCGCAGCATGATACCGTGGTCCACAGTATCAAAAGCCGCTGAGAGGTCCAAAAGAACTAGGACAGAGGAATAGCCCCTGTCCCGGGCCCTCCAGAGATCATTCACCAATGAGACCAATGCCGTTTCCGTGAGCCTGGCCACTGGTGAGAAATCCTGAAATTTGTAATTAGGCAATTTCTATAGGGCATTTTCCCATTCCCGTGTATAAGCTGTGTCATTCGTAAATTCTGTAGCCAGAAGAAATATAATAATTTATTTTCCACTAGAGGGAGAAATTGGCTTATTTATGAACAATAGACCAGAAAAAAAATCAGAACAGAAGCATCCTAATCTGTGCCCCTAGCATTCAGTAGAGCCAAATAAAGCCTTAGTGAATTAGCAAGTGAACAGTACTGAAACAAATAGAAAGCTAATTACCATCAAGTAATTTACTGTAAACTCAATGTTTACCCTAATAGAAGCATAAAACACATGCTAAAACAATAAAGTAAATACAAAAAACAAATACAACCAATAAAAGCGCAGTAGAAATGCAGATAAGTGCAAATGATGGAATGCCTTGATTCCCAAATGCCCTCTGAAATATTTTGGTTTTGACTAATTTCTGGAATGTCAATAAAGAGGATGCTAATCTAGTTTCAAGAGGGAATGTATTCAGAATATGGGGACTGCACTTACAAAACATTGTCTCATTTACCTCAGGAAACTGGAGGGCTTTTCTGGGGTTCATGTAAGAGGTGGGTTATATAAGTCACTTCTATGAGGAGAGAGGGGTCCTGCAAGTAGCCAGGTGCCAAACCATATAGGGTTTTATAGATTAAACTCAGCACTTTGAGCTTCACCAGAAATATACTGGCAACTAATGCAGTGACTCTACAGTACAGTACAGGTAGTCCTCGACTTATAAGCACAATTGAACCCCAAATTTCTAATGTTAAGTGAGACATTTGTATCCAGGTATCACACCAGATTCTGCCAATGAAGAGTTAATATTAAAGGACTTGAGCAATTTTATCAGCAGAGTACAGCCACAGTGAGCTGGCTGCAGCTCTTTCGAGCCATCCTTCCGTAATAGGGAATGGGCAACCTTAAACAAGGCCACTGGATGCAATCCACTGATAGCATAAAAATGGAGAGGTGGCTGCATTTTTCCTTTCCTATTGCCACAGTGCAGCTTCAAGCATGAATTCATACCCACATTCAGTCAAATTCACTCTTCATTTTCCCCCACGGGCTTCTGCCATCTCATCTCTTAGAGATTCTCCATTATGACTGTTAATTTTTAAAAAGATATATAGATTTTATTCTTTCCTTCCCTTCCTCTTCACTTGATCTTTAATTGCTTTTTCTAATGATAATTACAGTAAATACTGTATATCCAACAATTTTGTTTCCAATTGATAGACTATCATCCTTCATCACTCCATTTGCTATATAAATATGTCTCCCTTTAACTCTTTGTCAGTAAATTTGTCTGTCTATCTATCTATCTATCTATCTATCTATCTATCTATCTATCTATCTATCTATCTATCTATCTATCTATCTATCTATCTATCTATGTATCTATCTATCTATCTATCTATCTATCTATCTATCTATCTATCTATCTATCTATCATCTATCTATCATCTATCTATATAATATATATATAAATTTACTGACAAAGAGTTAAAGGAAGACTAGTATAGCTATTTCGAGCTATTTGGCTCTCATCAGCTAGCCATACCATTCTGAGATTCGAACCCGGGCTGCTTGCACGTTAGGCAGCTGTATTAACCTCTATTGCACTTCTTGCTATCTTCTGCAAAACTTCAGCTCAGTTTGCAAATTGGTTATATCTGTACATCATTAGCACATAAAAATGGAGCAATCAGCCTAGCTCAGCACAGAAGACTACCCATGAAAACATGCAGGAAGATTTGCAGACACAGTGCCTTGGATCCAGGAATAGTTCAATATCTTTAGCATAAGTGAAGGAGACATGTTTCCCAGAGGGCAGCTTCAAGGTTTGCCTGGAGAATTGCTGAGGACCAGCTAGCTCTGCAGGATAGTGGCCAGCAGACACCTTCCTCTCTTGACTGCTCCATAGTTTCCCCCTAACTATCAACCTAGTTCAGAGAGTTACCTGAAGACTGCAGAGGATAGTGTAGAGGTAGTGGAAAGCCAGGACACTGTTGTTGATAGCCAAGAGACCAAAGAGCCAAGCAGTGCTAATAACTAGAAGCAGAACGAAGGAGCTTCGCATCGTCATGCTGGAGACAGACAGAGAGAAAGAACCACCCAGAGAGGCAGACATGGAAGTTAGAATATGTGGTTAAACTACACATCGAGACATTGTTGCAGAAAGATCAGTAGCGTTAGATTACTGGTCATGGTTCAGACACGGACCCAGAAAGCACTTCAGGAAATGGCCCCAACATACATGGCTCAAGCAATAAGCGAGCAATGGTAAGACTTACAGTTCCTGCCTCCAACAACACCATTTTTGAAGAGGCAGAGGACATCTGGAAGACTGGAAAGGAGAATATCTCAAGACGGACAGTAGGCAAAGAGTTTTTATTTTTAATTAGAAGAGAAAAAACACTTATGGAGAAGGTGAACATCGATGAACAAAGATTTGTAATGAAGGAAAGGTAAGCTGCAGAGCAAGTTTTTACCTCAGCAGTTCATCGCAATTAATTAATTAATTAATTAATTAATTAATTAATTAATTAATTAATTGATACTTACAGCACAGCTTTCTTCTTGGCTTCCTTTTGTCCTGGTGAGCACAGCAACTTAGCCACCAGAAGAAACATAACTCCATTCATCTGGAAACAAACACAGTGGTTAATAACAGTAGCTTTGGCACTAAGCAAAACAGATTGCTCACAACTTTAGCCTCCCTATTCCATCCTCCTCCACCCACACCTTCCTTGGAAGGATAACTATCTGGTATAGCTAACATGATCAGACCCTGAATACGAGCCTTCTGTGCACTAACTCCTTTTTAGAATTGGGACAGATTCCAAAAAGTGCAAAAAGCACAACAGATGAGTCCCCCAGCCCCTCCAAAAGATTCATTAATGCTAATCTTCAGGAGAAGGATGAGAGAGCTGCTAAAAGGAAAATAAAGCCAAAGTGGTATAAAGTAGAAAAGAGAGCATGGTGTAAAGGTCCACGTAGTCATGGCAGAAAAAGGAAATACGGGGATGGCAAATTTGGGAGCAGATATGCTGAGAATGGAAAAGAAAGGGCTTCAGTCTAGCATCCTGGCTAAGCAACTCGACACCTGCATGGCTCTAACTATTCAGGGGTTTTGCAGAACAGATTACTATAGATCAGGGGTGTCAAACTGCCGGCCCACGGGCTGGTTTCATCATACCGGAGCCACGCCCACCCCATTGCCAGCAATGGCGAAAAAGCTCCGATACGTCATGCGACATCATGTGACGTCGCGAGTTTGACATGCCTGCTATAGATCAATCATGAGAAGTGCTTACCAGAATGACAAGAGCTATGGGCCCTGCAAAACTCCAGATCAGTTTGTCATGGATGGAAATCCAGCAGAAATCTGGGTTCCCATAGCCTTCTGGATCCAAACCAACTGATAATCCTGATAAAAAAGAAAAGATGAATTCTAAAGCACAATTTCCATGCCCCTGATTGAGGTACGCTGCATATCCCTACGGGAAAGCTGCTCTTTTTTTCATCTTTGGGTTTTCTTGGTTCTGATGAAGAAAAAGCTGCAATGTTGCAAGCAGAACTATCCACAAATCTTACTTAAGATTTCATTTATCTGCATAGATACTGAGAATCCTCATCTGTGACATTGTTTCTAATCACCTCATAAAAGTAAACTGGATCTTAAACTGTGGAAGTTGAGCATACAATAAAGAGTCTTGGCATATTTTAAGGACTGGCAATCAATACAATGTAATTTGGGAATTAAGGATTATATGCAGTTTCACTAAATTTGGATGGCTTTCCAGCTGCAACAACTCTCTCTCTCTCTCTCTCTCTCTCTCTCTCTCTCTCTCTCTCTCTCTCTCTCTCTCTCTCTCTCAGACACACACACACACACACCAACAACTGATGTCATCTTCAACCGACTATACTGGCTAGGAGGGCAATTAAATAATAATAATAATAATAATAGTAATAGTAATAATAGTAATAATAGTCAAAAGTTGGAAGGGACCTTGGAGTTCATCTAGTCCAACCCCCTGCTCAGGCAGAAAACCCTATATCATTTCAGACAAATGGCTGTCCAGTCTCTTCTTAAAAACTTCCAGTGTTGGAGCATTCACCACTTCTGGAGGCAGGTTGTTCCAATGGTTAATTGTTCTAACTGTCAGGAAGTTTCTCCTTAGTTCTAGGTTGCTTCTCTCCTTGATTAGTTTCTATCCGTTGCTTAGGAGGGCAGCCCAATATATCTTGACAGCAGAAGCGGGGTGGGAGACCATAGCTTTACACACTGTACAAGTTTAACATATCGACTTCAGGACCTATACTGCCTTTCTGAATCAAGCTTTTCCAATCCAGTGTTGGGATTGTAGCTACCAATTTTCCAGAATAGAATTCTGAGGATTACTGGATGACCTGTGGCCCATGGTTCACTGTTTCAGAAATATTTCCTTACCAGGTTTCTCAAAACCCTCAACAATGGCAGAGCTTCTAATGCACTTGAAAAGTTCTTAAAAAATCAGTTGAAAGTAAACCCATGTATAGCACAATCATTGACCATAAAACAGGAAATATTTTATGACATTTTGTATTAAGTCATAAAATGCTTTACCATAATATGTCATAAAATATTTTATAAATTTTGCCACATTTCAATTCCACAGGAGTCATGGGTCCCAGATTTTGCACACATTCTGTACGTTAATCCTTTTGAGGTATCTTGGTTAAAAAAGATTTGTCCTGCGATGCTCCTTATCACCAAGTTAAGGGTTACAGACACAAGAGCTTTAGTAGCATATAGATTTGTGGAGTGTGCTAGAGAAAACTGTTTTGTTTTAAGCACATCTGTACTTACCAGTGATTATGGCAGGGACCCCCCAGCCAATGGCATAATAGAACCTCATAGCTCCATAGTTAATGTTGCGAGCTTCAGTCTGCATGCGGTAAATATGAAGGCCTTGCACAAAGAGCCAAGCAAAAGTAGAGAGAAAGAAGTAGTGCAACAGGATAGCGATCACAGTGCAGAGGAACTGAAAAAGTAAAATCAACATTATACAAATAAGTCCTTTAAACATTATGCTTCTAGATCAGAGGTCCCCAACCTTTTGGGCACCAGGGACCGGTTCCGTGGAGAAAGGTTTTTCCATGGACCGGAAAGTGCATGATTTTATGTGCTGCCTGCATCCCACAGATGGGGCTTTGCTTGTTTGTGCAGACCGGTTGCTGGCATGCCGTGGCCCGGTACTGGTCCACAGACCGGGGGTTGGGGACCCCTATTCTAGATGACTAGTTTGTTCTGGAATTAATATTGCAAAACACTTTTCTTAAATTCTCCTTTGAGTTCAGGGAGTCTGTCAGATTGCAGTGCCATATTCCCTCTGATCTAAATTGTTTCATTAACGTGATTACAACTGGTGCACAGAGTGTGATGTTTGGTACTGACATCTACAGAGGAGAATCAGGAGCAAGAGTCATTTCTGGTGAGTGGGCAACTATATAAATTTGATACAATAATAAACAATTAAAATGATCAGACATGTATCATGAGTTATATCCTTGTGTCAAACATCAAACTGCAAGTACATAATCACAACATTTATGTATGATGTCACCATGAACATCAATTTTTTGGCATCATCATAGCGGCAGAAACTGCTGGATACCGAATGAGGATTTCAAAATATCGGATAAATTGAATATCTAATAAGATGATACCCACAATCTGGAATTGTGTTGACAGATTTGTGTAGATATTTCAATATATGAGCAATTTGTTTAACTAGCACAAGTGTCAGTCCAGTCCCCAACTCACTAATTTTATAATGTCAATTTCCTACAAGATGAGGTCTTCTTAAGCCTACTGTTTTCCATCCAATGAAGCTCCCATTTGATTCCTAATATGTTGCCCCCAGGGCTCTTGTTTCTCTTCTTTGTTCCATCTCACCTGATTTTCAGTAAGATTGATACCGAAGAGGAACACCAACTCAGAGAAGAAGAGAGTGACGGAAATATTGCAATGGATGCCCCGAGTATTAGACTTGAGACCTTTCAGGCATATCAGAAAGAAGAAGGTCAGAAGCAGACATAGAAGAGAAAGAGATGTCAAGGAATACGTCACAATGGCCAGTGTCTCCAAGTCGCCTTCCAGTTGCTGTAAGGAAAAACCAAACACAAGAGAATAAGTCAGGCGGCTTGCTGGCATCATAGATGGCTATTACACCAACATCTTAAAATCATTATTCCATCACCATGAAGAAAATATTCCATCAAACCCATTAAAAATGGAGCTTTGTATTAAAAGGTAATGCTTCTTGCAAGTCACGTTTGACTACTAGTAAGTTTGTGGACACCTCCTGGTTGTTTTCTTGGCAATGATATACCAGTGGTTTGTCACTGTCTTCTCACAGGGGTGTCTTTTCAACTTCTCAGTCTAGCTTTTAATCTTGTTCCCGGGTAGCTTCCCACGCACGGACTAACTAGGTTTGAACCAGTTCAGGGAAAGACTCTAGAAAAGGCCAGGGAGGTGCTGCCACCCACAGAAGCATAAATCCATATATATATATTGTTTAAAATATTTCTGTCCCTAATTTCTGCAAACTCATAACAATTCTGCAAATGAAAAATACACATGTATCACATAGAATGATAAATGGTGATGGATGCAGCAAGCAGAACAAAAGTGTCAGTTACAATCTTTCTAAGAAATGAAGTAAACATGACAGAGATGCATTGCATACTCAGATGTATGTCATATTTATGAATGATAAACAAAATATATAGTCAAGACAGATCAGAACACACACACACACACACACACACACACACACACACTTCAAAAGAAGAAAACCAGGAGAAAGTATAATTCCAGATTTAAATGTTGACAAAACAATTTGGGCAATTGTGCTAACAATTCTCTTATTTCTCCTCATAATGATAAGGAAAGTTGCTAGCATGGTTTTTTTTTCACACTTACGTACATCTTCCTTAAAATTATTTTTTAAACTGTCACCTATCTAATTATGTCCTTTTATAGTCCTATTCTTTTAGGACCATGTAAGATACAGCATAACATTTATATATAAAGTGGATACACAAAGTTCTGATTTCATAACCAAAAGTGAAAATTGTGAACAGATAGTAATGATCTTAAATAGTAAATGCTGTTAAAGGGTCTTTTCTCCCAATCCTGTAATAATATAAGATGTAAACAGGTTGGGGTGAAAAAATGGTTCGATATTACATGGTAAGAGGAAGAAGTTACACATTCTCTTATCCTTCACAGTAAATTTAGTTCAATCAGCAAGCACATGAGCCACCAAATATATTCTATGAATACAGGCAGACCTCGACTTACAACCATAACTGAGACCAGAATTGTTGTTGTTAAGCAAGACAGTTGTTAAGTAGGTCGTGCTCAATTTTATTATCTTTTTGCCATGGTTGTTAAGTGAATCATTGCAATGTTCAATGAATCATGAAGTCATTAAGAGAATCAGGCTTCTTCCATTAGCTGCTTGTTGTGAGCCAGTTGGAAAGGTCACAAATTGTAATCATAGGACTCTGGGATGCTGCAGCTATCATACATACATGCCAAGTGCCTGGATTTTGATCAAGTGACAGGTGGGGGTGTTGCAACAGTTGTAAGTTTGTGGACTGGTTGTAGTCACTTTTTTCAGTACCATTGTAACTTTGAATGGTTGCTAAATGAATGGTTGTAAATCGAGGTGTGCATGTACTCTGCCGTGGCATTTTCTTTGCTGACTTTTTCACCCCTATAAAATACTTTTTTCACTTGCTGCTGAAGAGCAGATGCTCTTTGCTGAAGAAACCTAGTTACCTCTCGGTGGGAGCTGTCCATCAGCACCCCAAAAGTACCGAATTGGGAGCAACGGCAGCGGACATGAGTGGTATTTCGGTACACAAGTTCACAATCCCGTGCTGTCCAGAAGCCAGTGGGCTCAACCCTGCAGTTACAAAGAAATCCATAAAAATGTAGGCTTCAGAGGAAAGATTCTTAATGTTTTATTTTTTTCTTAGAGACAAGCATACACCACAGTACAGATACTGTGATGAATGTAAGACAGTGACTGTATTTATGCCAGTCGTGGTTTCCACTATCACAGGTTAAGTTGGCGTTTCTCAGCCTTAGCAACTAGGTAGACCTCAATTGGCTGGGGAATGCTGGGAGCTGAGTTGAGGTCTCTGGCAGCAGGTGCCTGAATTTGATTAATTTCGTTCTTGACAGAGTGGATTTCACAGGTGAGACCAAAGAGAACCAATAATCTTGCCACTATCTTAATTCACTCTAAACCTACAGTCCATAGGAGATAAAATTCCATAACACACCTTAAAAAAGACAAAAGAAAACAACTCTATCTCCCTTTCTTTTGATAAGTAATTGTTATTGTGCGGATTGAAATAAAACTCAATTTTCAATGTAATTCATTATGTTAATTAATGAGTCTGCAATCTGTATAGATATTTCCATCTACATTCCAAATCAGTGGTATAATGTTGCATTACTTCACTTGTTTAAACCTAGAAGCCAATAACTTGTTAGAATTCTCTCCCTTTTCCCAATATTGTTTCCAACTTCAGTGCAGTACAAATTGTTTTAGAAGCTCTAATTAGATCAAAGTTCTACATCCGTCTGGAAATGGATAAAATACATAAAGTGGTTATAATTTCTCATTTTGAGCCTCAGCCTTCTTAATTTTGTCCCTATATATTTGACCTGGTAATTTGTATTCCTTAATTATTAGCCTCTATTTCTATTTTATATACTGTACATCTCTTTTTAGCTTCTTGTCTTGTTGAGGAGCTTGTTCTTCAAAAAAATGGTTTCCCCTTTTTAATTTCTGGGCATCATTTATACCTGTGTTTTTAGTACTGTGTTTTTTAGGCTGTCCTATCCCTCTTCAATTTGTCCGTCTTTAAGGATTTCAAGCTTTTATATACTGACTAGCTTTTACCTATTAAAATCTCCCTTCTTGAAGTCCAAGATCCAAGTTGATTTCTCTCAGCCTTTTCTCCCCATGTCATCTAGAATCACGCATTCACTTTCCCCCAAGGTGCCTTATGACATCTTGAATTCACTGTCCAGTTCCTGCTGGGGAGAAACAGGTCCGGGACAGGTGATCCCTTTGTTTTTTCTTGCACTAATCATGTTGGACAGTGGTATCACTTGTGTTTCTTACTCCTTTTAGAGACAATAAAACTCCCTTTTATGAGACACAGATTCTATCAAAATGCTTTTATGTTCTTGAAAATCTTTTCCATTTCAGTATCTTCCCAACAGTTTACAATTTGTTGTTTGGTAGCAGAAATCTTAAGTCTTAAGTACATGACATTAGCCTGAATTCCAGAAATATTTCCCATTGTTTTTGTTTCTTCAACTGCTAATAGTTTTCTTGCCAGATTCCCACTATTTCTGTGTAGTACTTTTGGAAACTATTTCAACTGCTCCTCGTGGAATTGCCTCATCTTCTGCCTGTAGCAAACTTGTGTAGTAAACTACCTCACTGGTATTTTACTTTATCTCCTTTTGTTCTTATCCAGGGGCATTCAACAAGATTACAATATTCAGTGATCAGTATTTTTTCACAGATATATAGTATCTTGACCTACCATGCCATCCCACCTTCTTATATCTTGGGTCTATTTCTTTTGAATAGATAATATTCTCTATTAGTTACAGTTCCAAGTAGTAACATAATTCCCATCAAATTTCTATGATATCTATATGGCCAAAATTGTTTCTCCATGTTGGAATTTCCAGCTCCTTATTAATACTTTGTACAGACTCTGGAAATCAGAAATGACACTGTTTGCACCGCTGTGAATCCCAATACACAGCAGTTCTCATTCTTTGGAGATTATTCAAATTTTATATTTTTTCAGCTCAGAAGTTATGAATTACCTGCAGTCACTGCAGGAGAGGAGGACTCAGTGACAGGGATTTTCCACAGACTTGCTATAGCATACCCATTCAATACAGCAACATCCATTCAATATAGCAATCCATGAGTTAGCTGTGCCCAATGGCATTTGGAGTCCAACAAAACTGGGAAAGACTAGCAGGTGGAATAATAGAGTAGAACCTATGCTTTCTATCTCGAAGGGCAACAATCTGCACCATAGGCTCCATAAGTCTTCCCAGAAGCCTGAAGATACCTGGATATATGATTCCATTGAAGAGGAACTTGAGCCACAGTCAACTTACTGGCTAGAGTGATTCCACTGAACGCAGAGGGGCTTGCTGCGGTTGGCTGTCTCAAGCAGGCGGAATTCTAGCATGAGTGGCTCTTCCAAACTGTTCTGCAGAAAAGTGTGGTTGCTGAACAGAGATACAGTCACAATGGGGGAGTTCATCACAGGGTTTTTGGGCAACCTGTATGGAACCAAGAAGCCTTGTTACTTGGCAACAAACACCATCAAGGCTGGATTGTTTCCGACAGTGACACTGATATCCAGTGTCCCAACAATCCAATTGTGATATTATCGATCGCAAACAAGTTGCCTTTATTCATAAAACAAATCACAGGCATTTAAAGTTGGTGGAACATGCCAGGCTGCAAAGAGCTCAGTACAGAAGGAAAACCAGTACCTAAGGTTGCGCCGATCCACCTGGTAGCGGGCAGGCAGAAGCCCACCAAGGGTGCGATAAATGATGAGAATGAGGATGGTTACAGCAGGCTCAGGTTCTTGCACAGAACGCTTTGGGGGAGGACTTTCCATTGTGTCATTGGTCTTAGCGTTAATCAGTGCAGCTATTGTCATGGTAGGAGCTGGAATTCAGACAGCAAAACAAGAAGGCATCAATAGCACAGTTGCCTTTGAGGACAGACGAAGGCCAAGGAAGGAAAGACCTGAGACTGTCAGTGTGTTACTTCCCAAGAATCTTAAATCAACCTTCCCAATCTGCCTGTTCCTGATGCGCTGGACTGGGGAAGATGGGAGATCTAGTCTAAGATATCTGGAAGGTAGTTTCAGATGGGATAAGATTCATTCAAATCTTAGCTGTATCCCGGGAGCATAATAGGTTACACATTCTGAAGTAAAATGATATTTTTTTTCAAAAGGCACCTTCTCAAATAAATGCTATAAGGCTGAGTGAGTGGTACTTCCCAATCAGGGAGCAGCAGTTCAATTAGGACCTTCTCTAATGGCAGACAAACCCTCTGGCCCATGAGCTATTAATCACCTATGCAACCTTTGCAAGATGTTAAGTCACAGCTCATTCTTAGTGTCCAAAAGAGACATGAAAACCCTCAACTTTTCATTTTTTTCCCCTTCAATGGCATTGCTAAAAGAATAGCAAAAAGAAAAGAAAGAAAACAAGAGTTTCTAAATCAAATTTTGTAAAGCAGTGGTTCTCAACCTTTTTAATGCCGCGACCCCCAACTGGTCGTAAGTCGAGGACTAAACCAGTCGTAAGTCGAGGACTAAACCGGTCATAAGTCGAGGACTACCCAACCGGTCATAAGTCAAGGACTTTCCCTGCCCGGGAGCGCCGCACATGCGTGGTTCTGCCCCCTGCGCCGGCCGAGGCATAGCTGGCAAGCGGCAGAGACGGAGCAGGCTGACCACCAGCTGGCCCAGCTCAAGGGAGGTAAGGCACCCGCCGGAAAAGGGCAAAAAAAATGGCGGACAGCCTTGCTTGGCGACCCCCGTGAAATGGTCGATCGACCCCAAATGGGGTCGCGACCCATAGGTTGAGAACCGCTGTTGTAAAGGATGGGGACAAGGAGGCTATTTCTTTCAGGTTCTTTCAACCAGGCCTGGGAGTGTTCAGGAGAAATTGCCACTTACCTTCTGTTTTGTGGGGGGTAAGGATGGAGTGGGGGAGAACTATGTGTGTGTGTGGATCCCACATGGTCTGGCCACGGAAGAGGGTACTGTGATAACGCGGATAGCGTCTTCTGAGATGGGTGTGATTCTCCATGCGATCAATGCTGAGCACTGTGGGAGGGGGGAGGGGGAGGGGGGGAGGAAAAGAGAGGCCTCAGGCATTAGGTCTCAGAGAGAGTGCCATCTTCTGATTAAAACAGAGCTTAATTGTCTCTAAAGCTGGAGGTAGAAACGGCTGGCTTCTTTGCCTTATGAAGTACAAGCAATCCTTGCTTACAGACTGCTTTGTTTAATGTTCAAAGTTATGACCGAGTAAAAGAATAGCTTTGCAACTAACTCTCACATTTACAACCATCACAGCCTCCAGCAGACACGTGATTCCCACTCAGGCGCTTTGCAACTGATATGCATTTATAACCATTGCAGCATCCCATAGTCACATCATCACCATAGTCACATGATCACTCTGCCACAAGCGGAGTTAACAGAGAAGGCGGAAGTAAAATTTAAGTGTTGGGCGCTTGATGCTTCGCTTAGCAACCAAAGGGGAAGTGAGATCATAAGCCTGCCACAATCGTGTGATGCTTTGTTTAGCAAATGCAGCGCTCATCAACAGAGTTGCCGGTCTCAGAGTTATCGACAGAGTTGCTGGGTGCTAAGTGAGGATTACTTATATATTTCACCTTCTTGGGCTACTTTCCAGAGTGCTTTTTTAATCATAGAGAGCCACACAAAGAGAACATTCACTGCATCAGGATTATTATGCAAAATAACATACCTAAAATGTACATGGAAATACTGAACTAAAGATGAAGATGTTCCTTTTAAAGCTTAGCTATTTAGTTCACAGATCCAAAAATAGGAGAAAAATGTCATTTAAAAAAAAGTGCCTAGAAATAACCTGAACTTGTAAGAAGTGTGCAGACTTGAAAAACTGCACAAAAATATTTATGTTTCAGAAATTTACATAAGCGTGTGTATGAATATTTATGTTGATGTTTTTAAATGGGTCAAACAGTAGCCCTGTAGTCAAATATGTATTTCAGTAAAAATGGAAATGAAAGAATTTTCAATCTGTTTAATTCTCTTTAGGCATTTGTCCAAGTGTATGGTGAGAGAGCAGGGCCACACACAAAGCCTTCTAATACTCTTGATCTCCATATGCTCAACCACAAGTCGAATGACTAACAGTATTTGATTGCTTGACCCAGTGGAGGTATTCGGATTGCACATTTACATGAGGTTGGGTAGAGTCAGGGATAGGGGATAACATTTTTGCATAAGATGTGAGAAATGTGTGAGACTGTAGTTTGCTTAGGAATACTCTACATATGAGTAGTGAAGTTATCCCTGTGGGGCATGAATATGTACACATCTATATTTAAAAATAACTCTGGAAGTGACTCATTTTGCAGAAGCTTGTACACAACACTAATAAGAAATATGTTCTTGTGAAGCATAAAAGATATGTCCACGTCTGATCTCCATTGATTGAACTTTATATGCAATGACAGAAGCATCTATAGCAGGGGTGTCAAACTGCTGGCCCGTGGGCCGAACGTGTCATCCGGTAGCCACGCCCACCCCATTGCTGGCAAAACCGTCCCGATAAGTTGCACGACGTCACATAACGTCGCGAGTTTGACATGTCTGATCTATAGGATTGGAAGCATTCATCAAAATGTTGCATCACTGTAATGCAATCCCTGCCCCTTTCATACATGTGTGCAATACCTCAATGCACATACAAAAGGAGTGGGGTTTGCATTATAATGGCACAGTGCTGCATTTGTCATTTGCCTTCCTTCCCTCCTCCACAGTTGATTCCTTAGGATCCTGCCATGAATTGAGAAGTATATCATCCATCTGTTCTAAATGAGGGATGCATCTGCTTTGCAGCTTCTGAAATCAAGCATTCTGGAACTACAGTGCAAGCGTGGGGAGCAATTCCCTAAAGTAAAGGGCAAGCAATGCCCTGTGGAATCTATTTATACAACATCACTTTGGAAATAATCAGGCTGGCATTCTCACGTGGATCAGCATAGATGCAAATTGTAAGCGAGTATCTCTGATCCATGCCAGCTAGCTGGAACCATCACCACTTTGCTTGTTCTTGTACAGAAAGAGTGGCTGTCACTTTTCCTTTCCTTCCAAGCCCTCCTTCCTCCTGAATGTCTGCCTCTTCATCCCATGTGCTAGAAACAGGTTGAGGTGCTTCTTGTTTCCAGTTCCATGCAAATAATAACCCGGTCTGCTCACGTTTGACAAAAATGCGATAAGACAGCAGAGAATTCTTAATAATGCAAAAAAGTTCCTGTTGTATCCTAGCATTGAACAGTTCAGCAAATCCATAGCTGCCTGGCAGCCAAGAGTTCCACAGTCATGGATTGCTAGAGAAACAAGGCCAGTTCATGCTGACTTCAAGAGTGAGCCATGAGTTATTCTTTCAAAGTTACAAGGTGAAGATTTCCTCCCCTGACCTGGCTTCTACTTACCAATGTTGGGGGTCACCACACCAACAGGATTGAGGTAGGTGAGCTTCATGTTGCTGGCCAAAGTGCCTGAATAGTCTTTCAGCTGTTCCATCAGAGCTGGAGTTCCCTGATCATTTTGCATCAAGGTGTCCCAGTGCTCCTGGTTTTCCAACGTGAGCACTGAGCTGCCAGCTTGGAGGAGGTTCTAAAGAGAAGATGAATGTTTAGGTAGATTTAAATCAATATAACCATCCTCTCCACCACCTTTCATCACACATAAAAACACATAGTTTCTCAATCTTGGCAACGTTAAGATGTGTGAACTTCAACTCCCAGAATTCCCCAACCAGTTTTAAGAAGTCCACACATCTTAAAACACTGATATAGGCAGATCATCTTTTTCTTTTTAAAAAAAATATATGTCTTTCTTTTATGAGAGTGTTCAGTGAATATTCACAGGAAAGTTTCACAGGCCCTGACCAGACTCTGCCCTCGTCCCACAACCAGACTCTGCTATGAAAAGTTTCTAAATTTCAAACATTAATGGCACATAGGCCAATAATTTCATTGCTCTCCAGTAGTACATAACTGAAATAAATTCAGTTCGACTTCTGGAACTTACATCTGGCTGAATATCCTAAGTTTGCATGTACACATTTCCCATTTCTCCCTTCAGTTAATTTGTAAAATGGGGTCCCTAGAAGTCACTTTCTTGGAAGAATAATAACTGGTGAGCTTTTTAAAATGAAGCTTTAATCATACTGCTCTGAGATTCTATAGGAATCTAGATCAGGCATGCTTGTTCTTTTCAGGATAGCATGGCTTTTTTTTAATCAGGGGGGCTAGCACTGCTTTCTATGAATTCCTATGCATTTCACTATAAACCTCTGGATACTTTGTTTTTTTAAAAAAACAGCCTTAAGAAGTTTTATGGCACAAAAAGAAATGAACGCTTGTTGACTTTCTAAACATTTTGTCCAAGCAAAAACAAAAATGTTGCTCCCAAAAGATCCCTTTTGGTCTTAGCATGTAATCATTTTGTATGAAAAAGAAAAACAGCATATCTATTGGTTGACGTAATCTTAAACTGGATAGAAGAGGCTAACTGCTTAAAAAAAAAAGACCCCACAGATAAGCAAACCAACAACCCAAGTTATCAGGTTAAAGTGTTTTTAAATAATTATTCCTAATTGCCTAGCCATCCTTATCCACATCTATAGATATTTATCCTGAGGCTTTAGAAATGATGGAAACCTAAAGCTACCAGATCTAGTCTGCAAAAAGCCAGCTAGCCACTGCTAGATGAAAGCAAATAAGTAATGAAAAATCAAACTATTCTTAAAAGGATTTAAACTTGGGATCAGGGTGCCTAGGCTAAATCGATATTTTGGGAGGTTTCATTCCAAATGAGGCATAAAATGAAGCTACTAGATAAAGGAGTGTGAAATGCCTTTTCCAAGTTAATTTGTGGCACCTACAATGGGATGGGGCAACAATTAAAATCCTTTCCCCAGGTATTCCGAGCTTAAGATATTTATGTTCTTTTTAGATTTCATATGCAGATTTTGCTACTTGGATTTTTCTTTGGTTTTACACTGTTTGGATTTTAATTGCATTTTATGTCTTGTATATGACAACTTATACTGTAAACTACTCCAAAAATTACATTTAGAAGCACAGAAATATTGTTTGCTGGAGAAAAGGCAGGGTGCTGGGGAATCCATAGGGCAGCAATTGTTGTAGCTCAGGGATCCCCAACCCCCAGTGCGTGGACCAGTACCGGGCCGCGGCATCCAGCAACCAGTCCGCACAAACAAGGAAAGCCCCATCCACAGGATGCAGGCAGTACACAAAACCACACCTCCTCCAGTGTGCGGAAAAACCTCTCTCCACATAACTGGTCCCTGGTGCCCAAAAGGTTGGGGACCTCTGTTGTAGCTAATGGCCATTAGTTTAATATCATACAGGACTCATCTGTGGATTCAGAGGAAAAGTTTCTCTCATATAGAATGTGACTTCTGGTGAGTATATGGACAGGTCAGTGTAATTTTCTTGGCAGCAATATGGAAGAAGGTTGCTTGTCACCTTTCAGGATTTTTAAAATTTCCTTCTCTATTATGATTGATTGATTTTGACTGATTATGTGCCTTCAGGAGGTTTTTGATCTAGCAGCAACATAGATTTTTTACCATGAAGATCTTCATGTTCTTCCAAGTCTCCCAATAATACCCTAATTGGCTCTGTAACTGAGTCCACCTGCCTTGCTGCTGGTTATCCTCTTCTCCTTTTTCCTTTCACCTTTCTCAGCATTAGAGCCTTTTCCAGTGAGCCTGATCTTCCTGTAATGTGCCTGAAATATGTGATAATTTGTGCCTTGAGTGAGAACTCTAAATTGGTGCAATGATCCATTGATTTGTTTTCTTGACTGTGCATGGTATTCTCACGTGTCTTCTCCAACACCAAGTCCAAAAGCGTCAATGCTTTTCTTATCCTGCTTCTTCAAAGTTTAATGTTTGCTTCTATGAAATATTAGAGGGAATACTTTTAGGACTTGCACAATTCTATTCTACTGCCTTGGAATTTCCTAGTGATTTCTTACCTAAATACTGAACAGGTCCAAAGCACTTTAATTTTTTTTTTGAGATCAATGAAAGTTGACCAGATGCTGCCACCCGCTGTGACACCTACCGTAGTGAATTAATATTACTAGAATTTAGCAGCAATGGGTAAAATACACAGATCAGGTGCTCTAGAAATTTGCTTTGGAAAGTTGCTTATATAGTATTGGACATTACTATTCATCATCCTCATTGTCATGATACTAGGTAACTAAATATTTAGAGATGTTTATTCTGACTGGTTAAAGGTTGACCCATCCTTCCATCCTTCCGAGGTCGGTAAAATGAGGACCCAGATTGTTGGGGGCAATAGGCTGACTCTGTAAACCATTTAGATAGGGCTGTAAAGCACTGTGATGCGGTATATACTGTAAGTCTGAGTGCTATTGCTATTTTATTTTCAGATTAGTACTGTTGTGGGATCTAAGTAATTTGATGATACACCAAGGGAAGTTTAAAAGTGGGGATCAAAGGGAAAAGAAGAAAAAAGCAGGGAAATAAGATGTGAATGCTAAAAAAAAGGCATCAATCTCAATCTCAGGAAGCCCAGGGCAACTTGCTAAATCATTTTGTCAACATCACCCTAGTTCAGGGGTAGGCAACCTTGGCTCTTTTATGACTCGTGGACTTCAACTCCCAGAATTCCTGAGCCAGCCATGCTGGCTCAGGAATTCTGGGAGTTGAAGTCCACGAGTCATAAAAGAGCCAAGGTTGCCTACCCCTGCCCTAGTTTATTCTATAATTGTAAGGCAGAGAAGAATGGTAAGGAATGAGGGTGGATTGTTTGTATAGTGCAGTGGTGGCGAACCTATGGCACGGGTGCCAGAGGCGGCACTCAGAGCCCTTTCTGTGGGCACGTGCACCGTCGCCCCAGTCCTAGGCCTTCAGCTGGGTTTTATAAAATCTTTTCGCTTTAGGCCTCCGCCGCCGTGTGCAAAAAAAAAAAAAAAGGTTCAATCAGTCAATTTCAACTTCTTGCGGGGAAAAAAAAGATCTTGCAAAGTTGGAATTGATTGAACTTTTTAGCCCTACCCAGTCTGCCGTTACCACCGCAGCCGCACCCAGCCAATGGCCACACCCACCCGGCACCCGACGACGCATAAGTGGGTTTTGGGTTGCAGTTTGGGCACTCGGTCTCTAAAAGGTTCGCCATCACTGGTATAGTGGCAACTCAAGTGCAAAACAGGGTCTGTAAGTAAGTGACTAAGGATAATATTTTTTCAAGGGTATTCTGTGTGCAATAATTCTTCACACATAATAACTACATTTTAATAAATCAACCGGTATCAAGCTTATAAGATTACTCAATGAAAGCAGGGGACTCTGAGTTCTCGTCCTGCCTTAGCCACTCTCTCTCAGTCCAACTCAACTCACAGGGTTATTGTGGGGAAAATAGGAGGAGGAAGGCGCATTTGGACATGTTCACTACTTTGAGTGTTCTGTAAAAATAATAAAGTCAGGATATATATATAAATATATTTATATATAAATATAAATAAATGTTATCACAAGCATTTCAATACAAAGCAAAAAAAGGTACTATTCTTTCTCAAAGATTCTTAAAGCATTAGAAATAACCACATAGCACAACTGATAGGACGCATTATTCTGCATTCCCAGAGGTCCTATATCAGTAGCATATCTTGGAGTCAATTTCCTAAAGTTCTACATAAATATCTACATTGGTCTTCAAGGAAAAAGCCTACTTAATTGGATTCTGTGCCACTTTTACAATATCACAACTGAAAAGGGGTTCCTACCTCATTGAAGTGAGCATCCTGAGTAGCAGTCAGCCCAAAACCATGCTGTCTGATCTCAAAGGCCATCAAGTGGGAAAGCAGGCGGTAGGTAATATGAACATCATTCCCAAAGTAGGACTCCATCTGTTCTGTCACTGCCCGTAGTTGATGGGCCAGCTTTTTTGCTTCTATGGTGTTCAGTTCTGTTTCGTTCTTCTCTAGGCTTTCCAGCTATCAGAACAGAAAATAAGTGAATTCAGAAGTGAATTTTTTTCTCCATCCCCTGTTAAACATGTGTACATTAAACAGAGAAAGGAAAGTTCTCAAGTTACTGATGGAATAGCTAGGAGAATAGCATTGGAAATCTAGACTCTGATATACATCATTGGTGCTTATTATCAGTTGGCTTCTGAGATGCTGGTCATCACTTTTCAAGCCTTCTATCATTCAGACCCTGAATGTCTTTGAGACCTCATTATCAGAGTTGAACTTCCTTGTCCAGTAAGATTTGGGAGAGATGGTTTGATGACGGTTCCACTGTCAAGGAATCCAATCAACAAGGAATCTGTGGTTGAACCTTCTTGGTAATATCCCTTTCTGTTGGAACCATCTAATTTTAGATAGATGGGCCATGCCTTCCTAACTACCTTTTTTGAAAACCATAAAAAAAAATTCTTCAGAAAGAGGTTTAGGAAGAGTTGCAGCATCCCCATGGTCATGTGGTTAAACTTCAGATGCTTGGCAACTGACTCTTATTTATAACGGTCACAGTGCCCCGGGGTCATGTGATCACCTTTAGCAACCATCTGACAAGCAAAGTCAATGAAGAAGTCAGGTTCACTTAACAACTGTGTTACTAACCTAGAAACAGCAGTGATTCACTTAACAACTGTGGTAAGAAAGGTCGTAAAATGGGGCAAAACTCACTTAACAAATGTCTCACATAACAACAGAAATTTTGGACGTAATTGTGGTCATAAGTTGAGGACTACCTCTATTGCTATTAAATACATTTATTTTTGTTTCCCCTGCCCTTCCTCTTACTAATACAGTAAGCATTAATAAGCTGACAAGTGATAGGTATGTTCTTAATATAAATACTAGACTTTCAAGGGTATCCATAGGCAATCATTTTATTGTGGGAGCTAAATTCTCCCTTATTATAAACACCCTCACCTTACATAAATATCTGTCTAATTATACAAAAAAAATAGAAGAGCCTCTCTGCAAGGAGACAGTTTTCCACTTTCCTAATTTCAGACTAACAGCCTTTTGGGACTCCATTGAGCGGTGAATTTGTTTTCCCAAGAAGGCACAGTTTATAGCCTCATTCATTTTAACCTCAAAGGCAAGCTTTGTCCTTTGAAGGCTCTCTTTGTACTAACAACCCCTGCTTGTACTGCTAATAGAACCAATTTGCCCAGTTTTGCCCTGATTCTACAGGAAGAATTTCATGTTTCCTATCTAAATTAGGGTGTTTTTATATTGAACTTTCAGAAGCCCGTCTCATATAACTACCACATTTCTGGAAAAGCATGGTGTGTGGGAAAACAGGTGAATAGAGAGAAGGAAAGAGAGGGGAGAAAAGATGTGTGTGGGGGGAGAGATAGAGATGTACCAATGTTGAGAGTTCCTTGAAAGCAGGTGAAGTGCAATTGAACAGATCTGGTTCCAGCCAGCCTCTCTCCTGGTCACAATACCGAACTGCTGCACCTGAATCAAGACAAAATGTCAACTTAAAAGTGGTAATTGGAAAGACTCTTTTCCTGTGGTTGCTGCCCAGGAAAAGATTGTCAGGGCTCAAACAACAGCAGTAGACCAACAGCATGGTTTTGGCAATAGCATTTTGGCAACTTCACTAATTCTAAAGACCAACCAATGAGAGAACAGATCCAGAGAAGGATTGATAGATCACACACTTCATCACCAGCTGTATGTTGTTCTCTATGATGACAACTTTGATTTCATTTCCACTAATTTAGGCTTTATGTGGTTCTCCCAAATGCTGAGTTTAATTATTATCAAGCTGGGAGAATTTCAGTACTGAGAAATGAACTTATTCATCATGTTACCAATAATGTGTCTAAGATATGATATGGCACGATGCCTTCTAAGTATTTGGCGGCAATAAAATAAAATAAAATAAAATATCAAGTTATGTGAACCTGCTATTTCCAATAATTTCTTTCAAAACTCTGGAAGGTTTACTGAGTAAACATATATTTACTTGCTATTTTTTTTTCATCAGTCTCCGAATGCTACTTTTCTTTTTTTAATTTGTGTATCCTTGAGAATGAACTGTATGTTCCTGAATTTGGAGTTGCCAAAGGAAAACCCGTGTTCTTACATTTAGATCTATGTCAAGTGCTACTGAAATTCAAAAACACACCATTCTCTGATAGCAAAAGTGAACATTTGTCAAATCTGGAATTTTTTGTTAAAATAGTGGAATGTTTTGTTAAAATAGTGTTAGAAATATTTCATTGCTGATGTAGCGCATTGTATGGGATATATATGGTTAACACTCTCTTGACTGAAACTTAATCTTTGTCTAAGAATGAATAAATCAGGGGAGAAATTATGTAGTATATTCAGCAGGAACTAAACAAGAGAATGCTAGAAACCTGTCTAGATTTACATAGCTGTGGGATCTTTTTAAAGAAGGAAGTGTTTTTGTGCATGCTAGACAAACTCACAACATCTCTTCCTATGTGTTCCTGTATCCCCGCCTCCCTCACTATTGCTGCCATGGCATATTGTACCAGGTGGCAAGATTTGAAGATGGTTGTATTCACTTTAACAGGAATAGAATGCCTGCTGCAGGTACCAACATCACCAGAGTTCTGGAGAAAATAATTCCAGATTCTAGACTTGGCCATCCAACATAGCAAGCCCAACGATTGAACAGGTAAGACAGGTGCACATTACATGTTAGTATCCATACTGTGAGCGCAGCCTCACATTTCCATCCATAAGTATAAATGACTTACAGTAATAGAACTGGACAATTTAATGGATAAGATGTTAAGCACAGAAAGGTTTACCATGATTTTTTCCAGTTACTCTTGCCACATCACTATCGCTAGAAGTTGCTTTTTACCCAACAACATTACAACAATGAAAATAGTGTGGGATAATTATGAAGAACAATGCCTGAATTCTTCTTTTTCTTTTTTGGGAGGGTGCAAGTGTCCATATCTGTGACATAGGCCATGCAGCTTTCTAGAATATTTAAACACCTCCAGGATCAGAAAGATAGAAAATACACCCCTTCTATATCTATCTATAACTACACAAAAGTAGCATAGGTGCCTAATTGGAGCATTGTGGCATTCTTAATGCTAAAATCAGTATCAGAAACAGCAACATTTTGTGCATGATCTGCACCAGCTGCCATCCCATCAGGGGTGCTAGAAGTATGTTCAGCAATGATCTGGATGGGAAAGATGTTTATACGAGAACAGTTGAATCCTTTTTAATTTCAAATGTGGCAGGTCACTTTGCTGCTTTACAAACTGAAATGTGTATGTTCTGCTAGGGCCAAGCATGATGGATCCAAACATATTCTTAAAATGATGAATTTCTGCTCTCACATTTAAACTCTGTTCAGTAGATTATTCAGTAGACTATTTACAAACCAAATCAGGCACATTAATTTATCGCCACTATTGCATTGATTTATCTTCAGGAGTCCTTAAAATTTTCATGCGGCAGCAAGCTTATTTTGCATGGTCAGGATCTTAGGTTCAGTCATCTTGTTAAAGGATCTCAGGTCAACTCAGAAAGCCCACTTTTCAAAGAAATAGAAAATACCTTTTTCCTCTAAGAGCTGAAAATTCCAACATGTAGCTGAATGAAATAAGTCAATATTAAGAACCAGATTTCTCCAGTCTGGTTTCTAAATTGATGTGGAAGTCTAAAAAGCTGATCATCCTCAGCCACCATGCTACTAGAAGAAAGTACTGGATTCCAGATACTTGAGGAGATCATGGATATTATGTTTACATGATATCAAGATACAGCAGCTCATTATATTTATTTAATTGTGCCTAGGATGCAATTATTTTCAGCAGCAAACCACTGTAGAAAGATATTCGCTACATTTTAATGAGAGGTAGAACCACCTTCATAGATCTGATGAGACTTAGTCTGGTATTTTACAGAATCAAAACTTGCACTGCACAATTTGGTTGCAAAACAACTCCTGAAAATTTTTAAAGAAACTTTAAAAGGGTCAAGAAGAAAAAAAAAATTGAGCAGAAAGGCATCATTCATTAATAAGCCATCCTGACTAGCTGAAGAAAATATCCTTGTTGTTAAAATATGGAGATAATGGTGTCCAAAACTGAGTTTAGAAGATAGTAGACAGACTTCTATTTGTTCTTGCAGGAAAAAAAAATGACAGTGTGTAGGCTTATTCAACTGTTTTTCTTTCCTCCTTCACTAGAAAGTGCCTACCTATGGCAATTTCATTTATGGTTTTCAAAGGTAAACCTACAGCAGGGACTGGCAGCATGTATAATATTTTGATATAACTCCTTTGATGAAGTGAAACAGCAATTTCTCTCTCTTTCCTAACCAGTTGAAATCAAGACAGCGAACACTATAGGAGCTGTTCACTTCCTCATGAAAGTCTTACTTAGTTTCTTCATCACGTTTTCAAAAACCTATGAGCGCCAAATGTCACTCTTCTTTTAACCAGAGCCCATACGCAAGCAGGGGAACCAAATGCATCCGCCACCAAAATATGACATCCATCAGTTAGAACCCCAGACTTCCCCAGCCAATTAAAATTTCTCTAAATCCATAAAAAGCGCCAAGGCACTACAAATAAGCGTGAGCAGGTTGCAGATGACTACAAGGGATTTTCTGCAGATTAGTGTTATGTGACAAGGTAAAGAAGCTGAAGGTCAGGCAGGATTACAAGGAAACCAGAGCCAGGCAAGGCAATCAAAACAGAGCCAGCAGCCCGTGGAGCATCTGAGGGGAATGTGGATCTGATGGTGCCTGAGGCAGGAGCAGGGAATGGAAAAGCCACACAGACCAGTGCTGACAAAGCAGGAGGGGAAAAGGGGAGAGTCACAGGCCTTACCTGTACCTCGCAAACCTGCACAAAAGAAAAATGTGGAGAAAAGGGACAACATTAAAAGCTTTTAAGCAATATATCTGATGAAGAATGACCTGCCCTCGAATGGGTTTCTATACTGTAGGAAATTCTGACTTCTGTGTAATATTTTGTACAGCATGGGATTCCAGCTCCCAAATACTTCTTGATTCAAGCAAGCAGTGGGTTAAACGGGATGATTGTACTACCTATTCTGTTGGTATACATTCTGAAGAATGTGTGTTTTGAGAGTAGGAGGTGGAATATCATGTCCTTGGGCTTAACAGACCGAGCTATCCTAAGGCAGAACCAGCACACCCAGATTTGGGAATGCATAGAGTGTGTTGTCCAATTTTCCAATTAATTGCAACCCAGGAGCTGTGATGGTGCAGTGGTTAGAATGCAGTATTGTAGGCTAACTCAGGTCACTGCCAGTAGTTCGATCCTGATTGGCTCAAGGTTGACTCAGCCTTCCAACCTTCCGAGGTCAGTAAAATGAAGACCCAGATTGTTGAGGGCAATACGCTGACTCTGTAAACTTGTTAGAAAGTGCTGTAAAGCACTATGAAGCAGTATATAAATTTAAGTGCTATTCGTATTCCCCCACATTATGGCTAAGGAAGACAATTGATAAAGGATCACTTCCAAGCACAGGCTTGGAAGACAATTGATAAAGGATCACTTCCAAGCACAGGCCCAAGCCCCAAATTAATTCATGTAAAATTTGGACCCATTCAGAGGTCAAGATGGCATCATGTTGCCAATAATAACAGCAGGGATATTAAAAAAAACCCTAGAGGCCTCCCACTAATAAATCCTTTTACCACCACTCTTCCTTGCTAATGGCAATCTTGACTGGTGCCGTGGCTTTAATAAGGGCTTGGATGGCTATTGCCATCTCACTCCCTGCTTCTCAGAACAAAGTTTTTTAGAAGCTTCATTGTCCACAGCGTACTAGAGCTTGAAGGTTGCAGTAGCCCTAGTTGGCTCCCTTTGTACTGCTATCACCATCACCAGTAAGGTAAGAGAAGAGGGTAGTTATAGTAGAAGAACCTCTACTGTTGAGAGATTATTAAACTATTAGTTAAATTTAATCCCTGAGAGATTTAGGATGGGTTCATAATCAACAATATGGTACCATTGACTATAGCAATCAGTGAAATAAATAAAGGAGAAGTTAGTATTCTAATCTATATGGACTAACTCTAGGCTATTTGCTGCCTGAATAATAGAGTTCTTGGTTTCCTGCTGTGCATTGCCAGGAAAACACATTGGGCTTTACTTCACAAACTCCAAGGTCTTCAAACCTATATTAATAATATTAATTGCCGACAATCCGGCCACTGCTGAAAGAAGAGTGGAAAGAAGAAAGACATGGAATGCCTTAGTGAAAAAGGGATGCGTAGTTTCTTGACAAAGCTGAAATCCAATGGGATAGAGCTCTTCTGTCCATAAATTTTATTACAACAGGAGAACACTTACCTAGTGAACCTTTTGGGCAAGGCAGTATAGCCGCCAGGCCAAACTTGGTTTGAGGCCACCATACTCCAGCTTTCAGAGACTTAGGACAAGCATCATAGAGTACTGTGGAATGAAACATGGAAAGCAAATAAATTTTGATCCATAGAATAGTATTCCATGAAAGGTCTCTCACAAGGCATGGACAGGCAGACAGCAGGGAAGCCTCTTCAAAACCAACTTATGTTATATTGAAAAAAAATGAGGAATGTGCAACATCTCAGGTGTTTTTAGCAATGCATAATGATAAAGCAAGTATTGGAACTTAGACCGTAAAAATATTGAGAACCCCGGTGTTAAGCCTGTATGAACTTATGATTAAATCCAAATTTGTTGGGAAAGTTTTAGAATAAATTGAATAAGGATTAGAATGCAAAAAAAAAAAAAGCTAATGTGTTTTACTTTGGCACAATGTATAGAAACATAAATTTTGTATGTATATATTTCTTGCAGCTAGCTAGAACATATACTGTATAGTAAGTGAACTGAAGGATGAAAACAACATCTAATACAAACAAATTTGAGGAAATGGTTATTTTTAAAGAGAGACATATAACAAAAACTGATTTTTCGGTAATGTGGCCTCAGACAACAAATATACTGATTTGCTACAGTGTTCTGTGTTATCTTTATTGAAAATACATAGCTAGAGTAGCTGTCTATGTTTTAGAAAAACCAGTCTTCTATTTGAAATCATTCCCATTTTAGAAGCGTGGAACTTGTAGCCTCTAAATATGGCTGAACTCCATCTCCAGCATCCCTTATCTTGACTATGCTGAGACTCTTTGGAGTTATAATTGAGCTACATGTAGAGAGTGACCAGTTTCTAACCTTTGCCCCAGCTGAAGAGCTGGCCAGTGCACAGTATTAGTCTATTTACTAGTCTAATGAACAGAAAGACTCTGTATGTGTGTGTGTGTGTGTGTGTGTGTGTGTATGAGACATGTTAGCAATCTTCCAATACTTGAGGAGCTGTCCTCAGAGAGGAGTCAACCTATTCTCCACAGCATCCGAGGGCAAGACAAGAAATAATGTATGGAAGCTTAGCAAAGTAATATCCAACCTAGAATTAAGGAGAAATTTCCTGGGAGTGAGAACAAATAATTAGTAGAATGGCTTGCCTCCAGAAGTTGTGGGTGCTCCATCACTGGAGGGTTTTTTTAAGAGATTGGACAGTGATTTGTCTGAAATGGTATAAGGTTTACTGCTTGAGCAGGGGATTAGATAGAAGAACTCCAAGGTCCCTTTCAATTCTGTTATTCTGTATTTTAAAGATTCCCAAAGAATGGAGAGTAGGAGGGGTCTCAAAGCCCTTCATTAACACACACACACAGTACTCACACATCTTACTACATTTTTTCCCATTAAAATAAAATACATTGTATTTTAATGTTAGTTGTACCAGTTATGTCATATATATGTCCATAAATGTATTTTTTTATTTGTTTTTTTTTCAAATTTGAGGCCACCTGACTCCGCAGCAATTCTGGGCATCTTACAATTCTTTTTTGAGTAATGTGTTTCTTTTTTTCTGACAATGTGAAAATAGTCTTCACATATATTAATTATTGGGTCTGCTTTCCAGAAAAACTAAAAACAATACAACAGATATTTTAGACCTAAAAGGGAATAATTGATCTCTAAGATTGCTTCTAACCCTTTCATTCTATGATTTAATTTTAAGCTGAATGACTAACGCTGTTCTTGTGAAGAACCATTCTAAGATAGTTTGTGTGACTCTACTATTTATATGTGCCAGAGCCATTGGCTCATAAGAAGAAAGGAATCACACATTGTTCCTTCTAGAGACCGCTACCAACTACTAGGTCTCAGTCCTTTTTCCACTGATGTGGATTTCTGTCCTTTAGGTCATAATGTTAGATGTTCAATTTCTTGTTCCATAAAAAGTATAGCAATGCGGGAGGCAAACTACTGATTTGGTAAATTGTCCTGTTTGATAGGGAGAAAGAAGGCTTCTACCCACTACCTCACTGCAATATTCTGTCTGTCTGTCTGTCTGTCTGTCTGTCTGTCCATCTTCAGCGCACACTCACCCCGGCAGCCACTGGGAGTCACCTCTGCAAAAGGATTATCACAACTGTTGCATTGTCGGCCAATCACACCTGGCCGACAGTGACACTGGCCCATTTCCTGATCACAGGACCGTGAGGAAGAGCCAACAGGATAGCAGTCACAAGGCAGGCAGGTGTCAGTCCCTTTAGGGTGGTAATGGAAATCCTATTGGAAGAAGGGAGAGGGGCAGGGAAGGTGGTTAGAGAGCTGGGTCATAGGAGGAGGAGCAGTAGGGGAGAAGGACTGACAAGACTACAGGCAGGGGGGAAAGGGCCAAAACAAGGAGCCTAGTGAAACAGCAGGAGAAATGGGGAGGCCTGGTGGGATAAAAAGAGGGCCATTATTAGAAAAGTAATGATAGCTAATCCAACCAGTAAGATTAGGAAGATAAAAAGCAGCACAGACAGATTCTTCTTACATTACAAAAAAAAAAAAAAAGTCGGTCCCTTTGGAGCTCCTACAGTGCTTTCAGTTATCTTCTGCTACGGCTCTTCCCCATCCATCACTATTTTGAGGCATCAGAATGAAAACCCATTTCCCTAAGGATTCATTCCCACAGGAACTCAACCAGTTTAGACCTCTTTTCTGAGTCCTGCAACTTTGGACTGAGGACAAGGAGTAGTGTGCTGACATGGCAGAAAGACATGGGAGAAGAAGGAAGAAAGGAAGATGGACAAGAACCCAGTGAGCAGAGCCCATATGGGTTCTGAAAGGAGAGCAGAGAAGAAACAGAAAGTAGACACCAGGGGAAGATGTAGACCCCAAAGCCAGGTATGAAAGAAAGGAGAATGAAGAGCCAAGAATGGAGATGAAAGGCAATACTGCAGGTGACGGGCAAGTGAATCATATATTGCATCAGAATCTATCGATGGCAGAGAGTCCCAGAACAGGCATATCTCTCCCCTCACCTTACAATGACATTGCCCGTTGGTTTTATTACAGTCCGGGTCAAATCCCTTGGCCGCATCGCAGTTGCAGGGCCCACATGTTGGATTCCCCCACCAGCCCTTGGGACACTGTTGATCCATCCTGCAGGGAAAAAAGTCAGGTGGATGGATATTTGCATCCAGGGCACTAGTTCATTGTTGGTCTTGCAGCAAGTGGAAATATACCATATTTTGATGTGTTTGTGATGGCATATTTTATAAATTTCAATTTTTAATTGCTATGGGCACTGTACTTCGGCAAGCTTCTAGAATGCAAGGCTGTGTGGAAAAATCATCCCTTTATGCGTTTGTTTGAGGGGAGGGAAGCAATCACAAAAATGCTCTGTTTAGGCCAGGAGTTCTCAAACAATGTGGTTCTATGATCATGTAAAATAAGTGTCTTTGTGTGACACTTCCGACCACATGAATAAACCTAGTGATGGGGGTGAACTAGGATTGGACAAGAAAAGAATGCAGGTAGTTCTCATTTAGCAACTATAGTTGGGACCAGCAACTTGGTTGTCAAACGAAGGAGTTGCAAAGTGAAACTGCAACTGTGTTTATGGTCTTACTTCAACTTTTATTTGATTTTACAGACCTGTGAAGGTTATAAATGCGAGGACTGGTCACATACTTTATTTTTTCATCACCGTTGTAAACGTGTGAAAGGTCACTAAACAAATCCCAGCTAAACAAGGATTACCTCTATACTTTTCTAATAACTGAATCTGATATCTCAGATGAACCAAGGATAGAACTTCACACTTTTATAAAATATTTGTCATTAAAAATTTAAAAAGCAATTAAATTTCAAAACATATTTGAAGAGCTTCTCGTAATTCCTAAAATCTGGATTTTTGAGACACTCCTCTACCCATCCATATTTATTTTGGACTGATATTTGCTTTTTATAGAAGCAACTGTAAAAAATCGTGATTTTACTGTGGGCTTCTTTAGGAAAATTGGGAGCGACTTCTGAAAAATGATGCAGCACTGCATGTGCAAGCACAAAAATATCTGCAACTTCTTCTCACATTTACTCATGACCTCTGTGGGTTGCAACCTACAGTTTGAGAACCCCTGCCTTAGGCATTTTTATGAGTTTATGTTAACAGAATAAAAATATCTGTCCAATCCAGAATTAATTAGTTTCCTCTCTATCTTTGTGATGTCATAATGACATTAATTCCCATTAGTTGCATGTGTTTCAGTACTGATATGATCACTGTGGAACCCACAATATGATGTAATTGTTCTTGATTTTTTAATTATTATTATTATTATTATTATTATTATTATTATTATTATTATTATTATTATTATTATTATTATTATTATTATTATTGAATGGTGCAGAAGCAACAGAACACTGGACAAATAATAGCACTAAGCAAGCATTCTTAGGGAAAATGCTTCAGTCTTGCTCAAAGCATTGTTTTTGTTCCCAACACAAAATGCAGACATTTGACAAAGCAGCAAATAACAGCAACCATGTACTCCTTGCTCTGTCTCTGGGTCAATGGAAATTGGGGGTATGGTCTATTCAGTGACTGGAAATGGCATGAAAGGCAACCCCAAGGGATGGCTCCCCGAACACAAAATTTCTTTTTCAGATAACTGAGTATATTCAGCATGAATAAAGACATATGTCATTGGTTTTTATTACTTTTCATTAGTATTCCCAACTTTCTCCCCATCCTTCCATTAAACTAAAAAATCACCCAAGAAAGACAACTATTCTCAAAACAATCATTTAATTTTGCTTGTGACAACTGGGCAAGAAGGCAATGAAGGATGATAAAATGCAGAGACTGGTTTGCCGGTTTGCCTTCCTTACAGCTTGTCATCATGTCTTTTTTTTTTTTTAACCAATTATGCACATTGAAAATACTGGCTAGGTGGTACACTATCAAACACAGGAAACGTTGTTTTTAAACCAAAGGTTTATAGAAGTTTAAGGATTTTTTTTTTACACGAAAACTATTATCGTCTTCCTTCATTTATCTATTTGTTTGATTTTTATAGCTGTCCATCTCACTTTCATTTAACTTCTACATCATGTCATAATATCCAATCTTTACTCTACCACAGGACCTATTAAGCTGAGCACAGACCCCTAACTATGAATAGCTTGAGACTCTTCTGATTTTGCGAATTTCAGGACACAGCGGCAGCAAAGCTTTCAGTGTGCAAATTGGTCATGTCAAATGTTATCTAAGTCAGGTGTTAGATGAGAAGCAAAGATCAGAGGCTAATTTCCCCATCATTCTGCCCTTAACTGCTAGTGACACAGAGTCCCCAGAGCAGAAAATTCTATCTAAACATGAGAATAACATTTCTTAGATCCGTGAGAGGCTAAAACCCACAAACTGTCCTTGATCTCACCTGTGCTCACAATACTGCCCAAAGTGATTTTCTCCACACTCACAGATATAACCATGGGGAGCACCTGGCTTTCGCTTACACACTGACTTGTTCTTGCAAGGGTTCAGTTGACAGGCATCCAGACAACTCCCACCATAATATCCTAGAATAAAATATACCGACAGTCACGTCACAACATTAATGCCTTTTTAAAGAGGACAACATGAACAAAGCCTGAATTTTATTAAAGTGGGTCACAACAGGGCATTGCAAAGCCTATATCAATTCTCATTTCCCATTCTTTTCCCAGCCTTTAATTACACACAAAAAAGCCAAAGGCACAATAGGAATATTATCTAAACTTGTTTAATTTGCATATTTTGGCTTATTTGATCACTGAACTGAATATTCATTCTAATTTCAGAATGGCTAAATGTCATGGGGAAATGAAATTATTGGGAGATGACCAAAAGGAGGGGCATGATTACACATTCAAAACTAAGCAGATATTTCCTTAATGTTACCTGCCCCACTCCTCATCCTTGATTCTCTGCAATTACTGGTAGATTTTTGTCAAAAGCCAACATTCTGAAACTATTGTATGTCCACATTTAGAAGAAAATTCCACTGTGGAATAAGCTCTTTATGCCTACTCTTTTGGGTAGAGATGGGTGGCTTTCATCTGAGCACAGGGAGAATTTTAGGGAGCAGCAATAAAAGGAAAGCGGAGGATACAAAAATACACAATACAGAATATACAGTAAAGGACCATAAAATGAAACGGAATGGAACAAGGAAAAAAGGGGAAATAAAGACTAAAACAAGATTTGCAATCTAGGCTGCTTATCCATCTCCTACCTGGTTTGCATACGCAAGAGTAGCTTTGCCACTGATCCTGGCATATACTGTTCGCAGGACAAGGGTTGGATTCACAAGAGTTGGGCACAGAACATCCTGCCTCTACGTTCACAGTGCTGCTGGGCTTGGGCAGTGCATTTCCCATGGCTGTGTCACCTAGGTGAATTCCCTGAAACCCAAATGAAAAAAGAAAAATAAAGCTCAGGTTTGCACCAAAATGTTTGGATTTTAATGGAAAGAACTTCAGATTTTTGGATTATTTAGGCTAGCATAGCCTACCAAGAACACTTTCTTCTGACTTTTAGCTCTCCATTGTAATGGATGATTTAGTCAACATTTCCAAGTGGGGGCAAGTGGGTGGAAAAACTACCGAGTAATTTTTACAAAATGTTCTCATGGTTTTCTGATTATGCAGAGATCTTAATTATTGTGAAGCAGAAAAGTCTACTGAGACTCATGGCCATTATAAAAGAAAGAAAGAAAAAGAAAGAAAGAAAGAAAGAAAGAAAAAGAAAGAAAGAAAGAAAAAGAAAGAAAGAAAGAAAGAAAGAAAGAAAGAAAGAAAGAAAGAAAGAAAGAAAGAAAGAAAGAAAGAGAAAGAAAAAAAGAAAAAGAAAAAAGAATCTATGACTTAATTTTTATCTTTGGCTCTTGAAGGGGTTTTAATTTCTTTAAGTAAATGCTGCTTATCTCTGAATTAAAAGATAAAACATGCAGAAAACTTGACATTTGGAAATTTGCTGGAACTCACCTGGATGCAGCCTTTGAAACCATGATGCACTTTACCGGACACTAGGATTCCCCCAACATGGAGATGTTTCACCTTCAGGCCTTGAAGCTCATTGCCAATGACCACAGTATCCTTTAGAAAAGAAATACAAGAATAGGAACGTTACGTGATCACTACTGTTTACTTGCATCTGTGGGTTAATCTTTTAGTTCCTTATCATCTATACTCTGTGACACTATGGTGACAAAATTTCCTCCAATGCCACCCAGAAAAGTGTGGGCTAAAACAAGGATATCAGCTTTGATCCCAAATTGTTAGACAGAAAGAAAATTAATTGTCAAACTGAGGGTCCTGAATCTGTCAAAAACACTGTTGGAGGAGGGAAAATATAGAACTACAGGGAAGAATGCCAGTCCTAATCTAGATAGTTTTTCTCCCAGCATGGATACTTTGCCCTTCAGCCTCAAAGCTTACCTGGTAGAATCCAAAATCCAGACTGAGGGTGATAATGTAACGTGCCTCATGGCTACTTCGAGCATCTTGTAGATGAAATTGAAGGTCATGCCATACTCCATCATTCAATTGCATTTGATCCAGAAGGATCTTGGCAGTGCGTCCAGGTCCCCTATTCACCATGAAGGAGAGCAGGCCGGAATCCAGCTAAAGATATGGTATAGTCAGCACAGAGCAAATTCTGTTTTATGAGTAAGGCTACGATAGTTCAGGCACTCCACAAAATTCTTCACAAAATGCTCTACAAACAAATGGTGAGTTCTTCTAGTTAAGAATAAGTCTTTCTACTCCGACACTAAATAGAACAGTGCCATTAAATAGGATATTACAAATCTGTGGGGTCCCAGTGTTCTATTACATAAGAGAATTATTGCTGCTATACTTGTTCCAAATCTGATACATAAAAAGAGCTTAGTTTTAAAAAAAACAGACATGATTGCCTCATAGAACATCTGATGCAAGGTTTTATAGCAGCACAGATCCAGAGCAGCTACATTGTAGATACCTGACAGAGTATGGTGGTGTACTGCCCAGCATTTGCCTGAAGTAAAACTCCATTTGCCTGGCGTGTCCGGAATGCTAGGCCCATATACCAAGGTGTGGAAATCTTAACTTCATTCCTGAAGTCCCAGAAAAGGATGCTGTTGCCATGGAAATGGTGAGGATGATGCATAGCTAGAGAAAAAGACGATAGAAGATGCTGGAATTCAGTGAAGCAGAAAGAAGCTCAAGATGGGGGAAGCTTGAAGTCCCTACTTTTACTGTTACAATTTCTTTACCTTCATTTCAGAGACATTTATATCATGGTTATCTGCATGGGGCTGGAAATATAATCTTACTTAAAATGCCCAGGCGCCTGTAGCAGGAGCTGAGGAGTATGAAATGCAGATGCCCAAGGTTTTGTTCAATTTGCATTTTAAAACAACCGACAGATTGGCACATTTCCAATTAACATGCAAACAGATTGGAACACTGTTAACCCCTCAGATTTCACACCTTTGCGTTTTGCAATGTAGTTCTTAGCTCAAAATACATACCAAATTGCATATAAAATGCATATTTTAAGATGAAATATGTTCAGAAATCTTGAGAGAAAATACATTCAGACTATGTGTTTTGGGAGAAAATACTTTTTTTAAAAAAATGTATGTGTTTAAATTTATTCAAATGGCAAATTACTGTAAAAATGATAGAATTATATAATTGCTTAGAATTATATATATGATAGGCAGGATAGGAATGTTTAAATAAATAAAAAAATAGATGTATGAAACAAGTAAGAAATAAACTGATCTGTCCACTATTTGTAGAAAGGCAAAGTCATAGGGAATATATTTGAAAACCTACAAAAATGCTTTTAGAACTTTAGACTACACAGTTTCAAATGACTGAGATTCTTTTTATTTTATATTTTGAGCATGCTTATGAATACCTAAGTAAACTACCATGTGCCTGTTTGGTCTATAGGAGAGAGCCATAGGTTGAATTGTGCTTTCTTCCAGTTTCAAAATGAAATCCTTTATGAGTGTCTAATGCAAACATGTCAAACTCAAGCCCACAGGCCAGATCTGGCCTGCGATGTGGTTAGATCTGGCCCACAGGACTGTCCTGGAAATGGCAAGGGGCCGGCTTTTGCTGCCTCAGCCCCGGTCCACCCCAGTGTCGCTGGGCGCTCCCCACGGGCGCGCATAGGAGGCGGTGCCTGGCAGCAGCTGCAGTTCGTTTGCCTTGCCCAACTCATATCACCCAGCCCCTCCTGGCCTCGCCCTACCCCTCCCGGCCTCACATTGTCACACCTGGCCTCTCCTCGTCTCATGACTTCTGGTCTTTCCTCTCCTCGCCCAGCCTTACGACACATCCCACCTCTCCTCTCCTCACATGGCCTCACTTTGCCTCATCACACCTGGCCTTGCCTCACCACACCCGGTTTCTCCTCATCACACCCAGCCTTGCTTCACCTCGCTTCACCTTGTCATGCCTGGCCTCTTCTCACCCGGCCCTGCCTTGCCCGACCTGGCCATATCATGCCTGGTCTCCCCTCTCCTTGCCCGGCCTCTCTTTGTCACATCTGGCCTCTCATCTCCTTGTCCAGCCTTGCCTCACCTCAACTTGCCACCCCTGGCCTCGCTTTGCTTGGCCTCTCTTCTTCTCGTCTCGCCTTGCCTCATCCCGTGAATTGCACCGGCAGCAGCAGCCTCGAGGAGGAGGTAAGCATGGCCAGGAGCTTGCCCCTGCTGACACTCAGCTCATGCCTCCCCATGCTCCTGTCTCCCTGTTCGCTGTGAGTGCCGTTTCCCCCCTCTCCAGCCATGCCATATGACAGAGAAGGCAACCTGGAGCCGGTCCCCACTAATGCTCAGCTTGTGCTACCCTGCACCCATCTACCCACCTTTCATCCCATGGGCCAGGTCCTGTCTGCTGCTCATCAGGCCAGGGCCCCCCCTTTCAGCCTTACATCTGGGGGATGTTGAGGCTCCTCTGATGGATGAGGCTTTGGCACTTGCTTTGGTCTCACCTTCCTCCACTGGAGACTTCCAGATCTCCCCTCCCAGCTTTGCCTGCCTCCCCCACAGGTGCACATCAACGTGAGCAACGAGCTGGCCATGTCAAACTGGCCACGACCATCCCATCTACGCCCACCTGGCCCTTTGAGGGCAACCATAATGCTGATGGGCCTTCAATGAAATTGAGTTTGACACCCCTGGTCTAATGCTATCACAGGCTGCCAATGGCCACTTGTAAGCTTTCATTAATGAACTGAGGTGATGGGAAGGTAGAACTCTTTTCTATCCAAAGTTCTCAGTAGGAGTTCAAAGAATGAGTCCAGATAGAGTAGGAATTCCAACTTTCACAAAACTAACTGGGAATTCAATAGATAAGGTTTTCTGTATAGATAGACTCTATTGATGAAACATGTAGCAATTTATAGAAGACTAACTGTGATCATGAAACATTCCCTTGGAACTTCAACTTTCAACTTTGTTGAAAATATTAAACAAAGCCATTTCCAATTATGTTTTGGCTGATTTCAAGAACACTATTATTAGCTATCTTTCTCTGAAAATTCAGCTGTTGGTCACCCTGGAATCTCCTTCCCTTCTTGGGGCCCTATCTACTGGTTTATATTCCCATTAAAGCTCAAAATATCTTCTCCTATGCTCAACTGCCCATTCAGCTTCTCTGTATTATACTCACCATGCCTGCAGTCCTTGCCTCCAAAGCCTATGGGGCACTCACAGATAAAAGAAGACCAACCCACAATACAGGTGCCACTGTTCTTGCAAGGATTTGAATCACAGAAGGAGTGCTTGGGATGACAACCTGCAGATATGAGAGGGGAACAGCACAAGTGGATACAAAGGACTAAACAGTTAACATGGAATATTTTCTCTTTCAGTCTTCATTCCCAACTTTTCTAGACTATGAAAACGTGCTTTGGAAATTTTCAGCTTGATGATACGTAGGCAGAAATAACTCCTGTTATCAAAAATCCCTGGTGTGAAATATTACCTTTTTCCAATGGGAAGGATCTAGAATTAATTGTACTTAGGGTAGACATATTGCAAACAAGCAGCAGAGACCTCTAAGGTAGAAACCTAAGGATTGAGCTGGCAATACATTCCTGAAGTGTGTGATTTCCAAGACATTCATAATGGAAAAGGTACAATTCACACTAGATATCCGGATAAGATACAGTGTCTTTTGCCATTTGATCAACTTTTCTTGTGCCAGAATTCTTAGTGAAAGAAGTCAGCTAACACTGCTGTGGTCTAAGATGATGACTTGGGAAATCACAATTGCTGTTTCTTTATTCCGAGAATTTTTAATCCAAATATTTGTGATACTAGAATGGAAAAAAGAGAAGATGTGGTAGAGGAAAGATCAGGTATCAAGGATGTTTAAACAGTTGACCTTACCTATGGAGGTCCCATTGTTTGCGATATAGGAAGCCAGGTCAATGTGTTTACTATCAATGTACAAGTCTCTCATGCAGCCCACAAACTCTCTGTGCTCCACTGGGAAATTTTCAGGCAGATTGGGGACCCCTCCAAGCAACAAAGGCCCTGTAAGGTCCAGAGATCTGGAGGGAAAAAAAACAACACCCCTGAGAGTAGTATTTGTAACAGTTGTTCCACACACACACACACACACACACACACACACACTATAATGCTACAAAGACAACATAAATATGTTTCTGCAATGTTACATTTAAGTCCAAAATGGAAAAATGTGGTCAATCAGCAGTTTTGTTTTGTTTGCTAATGCTTATTGAAAGACGGAATCCATATAGCAAAAAACTGAAGTATATGAAGAGGCTACTGCCCATCTTTATTGAGTATACAGCAACCAGTCAGCTGCTTCTGTAGTGCTTATAAGCTGGAGATGTATTCCTCTCCTGTCACTAACAATTGTTAACAATTGGGTGGCCTAAAAATTTGATAAATAAATTCCAATTTCCAACTTCCATTTGTGGCATGCTAATTTTGTCACTGTGATGATGCTGAAATCCTCAGGATAGATAACCCTTGACAGACCACTTCTTTTATCTGATTCCCCTTGTCAAATCATCCACATTAGTGGCTACCATAATGTCTTGTGATAAATTCCACAAGTTAACTAAGCCATGTGTGAAGAACTGAAGTTTTTTGTCAAAAAACTTCACTGGACATCCCCTAGCCCTTTTTCTCAACCAACTCATAGATGCGCTATCAAACAGGAAGTTTCAAGATGATCTGCCTGGCAGAATAGCAATTTTCCCCCCCTTGGTAGGTATGAAAAAGCAGTACAAGACAAGGTTACCAAAACTTAGTTGCAGCTGCTTTGCAAGCTTCTTTAGTTAAGCTAGGGCTGAATAACTGCTTGCAGAGAACAGGCATCATATGAGAAATGGTGAAAACGTGTCTCATCCTGCAGAAATTACAGTGTATTATAAACCATATTATGGAGCTTCCTCTTTCCCTTTTCCAGGGCCCACTTGAGCATGAACTAGAGTGAAGCTGTGAAAAAAAAGATGTAAAGGAAAAAGAGGACAGCACAGGACAGGGAAATGGACTCAGCACCTTTTTTACTTTAGCTGAAAATACAAAAGACTCACTTTTTGGAACTGGACTGTACTCCCTCTGCTGCGCAGGAATAGTTCCCAATCTCATTGCCAAACTGTAGTGCCAGAGATGTATCACATTTGTCCACTGTTAGAATGGCCACTTTGTCTGTGGAAGGTCCTTGCACCGAACCCAGAGAGTTTATTTTGGGCTGAAATGATAAAGCAAGGCTGAATAGGTATTGCCTTAATACCAACCTTACATTTCATCTGGATTAAGGTGCACTCCACTAAAACTATTCTGATTCAGAATTCAGCTAGATTATACCTTTCCACTTTAAAAAAATTAATTAATAACCCTACACTTGGAGAACTAGCATGCGAGCACACACAATGGTGTTTCTTAATATTCCATAGAAAGAGATGTTGTCATATTTGTTTAATCATTCAGTGTGGAGTCAAGTTTCCCCAAAAAAGTAGAAAGCTTTATACATGGTTTCCATGCTCATGGGAATGAAAAACCTCTATTCTCTCTTTCTTGCTTTAATACACAAAAAAGAAAAAAAAATACAAAAAAGAAAAAGAAAACAGAAACAATAAAAACATTCGGGACGTCATTCAGCTTCTTTTAAAATCGCAATAGCACTTAGACTTATATACCACTTGATAGTGTTTTACAGCCCTCTCTAAGCGGTTAACAGAGCAAGCAAATTGCCTCCAACAATCGGGGTCCTCATTTTACCAACCTCGGAAGGATAGAAGGCTGAGTCAACCTTGAGCCGGTCAGGATCAAACTCTTGGCTGTGAGCAGTGAGTTAGCCTGCAATACTGCTTTCTAACCACTGCGCCACCATGGCTCTTAATAAGTCATAAATCATAAAAAAATAAATCATTAAATCTTGATCACATAAAAATATTAATGTAATTTCATTTCATTGGTAAAGAACCTATTTATAAAATTAAAAAACTTAATTTGGCTTGTACCGTTTTTCTGACACTGAATATATCTTCTTTGTTGTTCCCCTGCCCCAGCTTGTAAATCTTGCTACATAAATATAAGCATATAATTGAAAAGTGCATTTACATCTTTAAACTCTGCTGATCTTTGGAATACCACATTAACAGACTTATAAATATGGCACCTAAACAGGTCAACATGAGGACAAGCCCAAGATAAGATCATTTATTAGTGTGAGATCACACTCTGATGTACTTTCTCTCACTCCCAGTCTTGGGATTCAATTGCTCAGGGTCAGAACCTGGAGCAGTGAAGGCGAACCTATGACACACAGGTCAAAGGTGACATGTCACAACGTTTTAGATGACACATCACTGTTCACTAAGACCAAACGTTTATTGAAAGCATGTCCCATCCTTAATAATAATAATAATAATAATAATAATAATAATAATAATAATAATAATAATAATAATAATAATAATAATAATAAAGTTGGAAGGGACCTTGGAAGTCATCTAGTCCAACCTCCTGCTCAGGCAGGAAACCCTATACCATTTCAGACAAATGGCTCACATGGTTTCCACAGCCTGCAGAAGCCATGCAAGAATGGGATATACTCTCAGCTGCCATCTGGACCCAATGGAAATTATGTGAGAGTCTGTGCTCTCACAGGTCTCCACACCCTCCAAAAACCACATAAGAGCAGGATGTACTTTCATACAGTTTTCAGAGGCTGCACAGACCAAAAAGGAGTATTCTCCAAAGCTGCTTTAAGAAGGAAGGCCTTGTGTGATCCTGAGCAGCTTCAGGTAGGCTGCAAGGGCCTGTCAGCAGAAAAAGAACATTGCCTGAAAGTCAGCAGCATATGGCAGATCCTGCAGAATGCCTGGTTACAAGGGGAATTGCACAATTGCCCAAGGTTCACATGCCTTGGGGAATGATGCATGGCAGACTTTTGGGGTGTCAGTAGTGGCACTAGGGCTGAAGTTGAGGTGCTAGGGCTGAAGTCAAGGCCTAGGCCTCTACTTCATGCCCTGCCTTGGAGTTGCTGCCAAGTTCCACTATCTGGGATAGCCCAGATGGGAGGAAAGAAAGACAATTCTCTCTTCTTTGTTTGGGGATGTGTGTGTCTGTGTATGTGCATATATATGAGAGACAAGCTAGCAGAGTCAAGTTAGGCATTTTCTGACTTTTAGACACATTAAGCCCAAAAGATTCACCATCATTGGCCTAGAATAAATGCAGAAAGTGCCAGTGGGGAAGAATTTGACAGAGTGCTGTGGTTTTCTTTGTAGCATTGTGCCATTTGTAATTTGTACATTTACCAACTATTTACTATATTTACTTATCTCATTTACATCTCACTGTCTCCTGTGGAAATCATAGTGCCAAAAGGACATACAAGTAATTTTCCATGCTAGCATTGGCCCAAACCAATCTGACTTATTTTTATCAATGTTTTTACACAGAATACCTCAGGCTCTGCTTGAGAAGGTAGACCTGGCTTGGGTTCACACATCTGCTAAGTCATCATTTTGCTTTTGTGTGTTGTGTGGACCCAGCCATTTTCATTTGTACCCAAATGAAAATGTACTAAATGAGGACTTCTCGTTGTGTGTTAATGGTTTGTCTAACAAAACATAGGTTAGTACAATGTTGAAGGCTAGTCATTTTCTATGTGACAAAAGAATTTGGGAGGTTTCCTGGGGAAAAAGAGGACTGAGCACATGGAAGACAACTTGCGCTACGAATGCAACCAGGGTGAAGAAGAAAACCACCACAACACAAAAATGTTTGTGCCTACCTTGTTATAATAATGAAGTTGCACCGTATGCCATTGACCGTCACTAACCCCTCCTGGTACAGATGGAGAAACAACAGTGCTTGATTCCCCTGCAAGGCAGAGGGATATTAGACCCACAGCAAGTAGATTGGGATGACATTTGTGTGTTCTTCATTCTCCACCCCATGGGGAAACAGCCAGGATCAGAACTGCAGCCCACTAAGGAGTTAAAAAAGTAACACTCTTTCCTATAATCCTGACCCTGAAGGCGATCCAAAGGAATTTTTTTTTAAGTAGGATTAAAAAAAAAAATAAGGCCCTAAAACCATGAAAAGGGTTTTGTATAAATCCCATTCATTTGGTTTTTTGATTAATCTAAGTGAGCTACAATAATGTTTGGCAGGAACATCATCCGTCAAAGGGGAGTTATATAAATGTTCATATGTCATCACCAATACTAGTGTTAAGCCAACATTATAGGAATACTCTGTACACACACACAAATACACAAAGAAAAAATAGGTTGCTTGGATACATAATACTCCTTTAATGTTTTTTGCATTAAAAAAAACCCTAGAATGTTGTGAAAGAAAGCATATTGATTTTACACTAGTATCAATATTTATGAGCATTACTCCATTTGGATTCATTAAGGAAAGTAGCAAAAATGCCTTCTGTATCAATGTTGGTTATATTATCCCTGTCCACCAAATTCCCAAAGGTGCTTTGTCACAAAGCAACTGGACTTTCTTGTTTTTCTTTGAAGATGTTTCACTTTTCATCCAAGAAGCTTCTTCAGCTCTCACCGGATGGTGGGGAATGGAAGGATTTATACTCCTTGCAGAGAGCTGATCATTTGCATTATTTTAGAGAGTTCTTGAGGCCACCTGGAGGTACTGTTTCCAAAGCCTTATAGATATATAATGTAAATTCTTGTCTGCTGTTCCTTCCCACCCCCCTCTCTTTTGCAGTTAACTGTTTTTGATGTTTGGTAAATAAACATCAAGCTATATTTTTTCGCTAGCTAAACTTTCATAAGGATAACTATAGATGTCCACTTTTTTACCTATTCTTTTTCTTGTTTGACCAGGTGAAAACACAACAAATCTGATATTTATTTTCTGCAACTAAGCAAGGAAGAATGCTTTAGTAATAAGACTGGAGTCTGCCTTATTGACATTTTTAGCTCCCTGGAATGAAAGCCATTTTCTGTAATACAGTAATTATATTTAGGATGTTTCCATTTTGAACCTTGCCTGTAAAGTTGAATAGCCCATAATATTTTTATGCATAATCAGGGTTTGGAGTATTGCTATGTCGCATGAAAGTAAAGCTTTTAAACTGCAGCTTAAAACAGAACATGGCTTCCAGCATTAGCATTCACTCTGACAGCACTTGAATCTTTGTAACCTGTAGACCTGATATGATATGTGGACACTTACTGTATGTATATAAGCAGGTGAATACAGAGCTGCATGTATAGATATACTATCTTGCCATCTTCCATGTTCCCCCCTTATCATGTCATTCAGACATATATCTTTATGTTGATATATAGTTCACAATTGTTCTGGGCTATCATCCCAGAATCAGTCACATGACCCAACTAAAGTACAAGCTGACATTTTTGTACAGATCAGCCATGCAAATGTAATGGGTGCAAACACAGAATCTGGTATATTAGCCTACAGACTAATTCTCTGTGACCCTTGCAATTGATTAAAGCAAACATTTATAGCAACATAAATTTGCATATAGAAGTGTTCTGAAGTTGAATTATGGGCTGAAGTGCTTGTTTTGAAATGAAATACCTGAAGGTTCACCAACCTCTGAAGCTTCAAAATTAGAACACTGACTGCTCATTGTCAACAGCAAATGACTATCTCAAGGAAATGGGAATATTGAAAGAGTGTCTAGTGCAAAATACAGTATTTTGCTTTTCTTGTTTGCCTGGCTACTGGTATTTAAATTTTCCTATGATTGGAAATGTGACTATCACTTTGTAATAAAGGACTATTCTGTTTGGCAAGGGATTTTAAAGGGTCTCAAGTGTCTTCATTTGTTGCACTAGA